CTTTCGTGGACTACAGCCCACTTCTTCGGATGCATCGTGACTGTAGTCCACGAAAGCTTATGCTCTAATAAATTTGTTAGTCTCTAAGGTGCCACAAGTACTCCTAACCTTAGTATAGTAACTCTACTGAAGTAAATGGAGTTACACCTTGCTTACACCACAACTGATGTTGGTCCATAATGTTTTGTTTAAAATATGATGAATTTGAAAAAAGTTATCTCAACCACATTAAGGGTGGTATGTCCAGACAAGAGATCAGAATAAGTAAGGAGAATACATAGATCCTGGCCATATGCACAATAGTTTAGCTCACAAGGAAATTTTGCTTTTTTAAAAACAATTGTTGCCATCCCATTCTCTGTAGCAGAAAGAGAATTTTATTTTTTCAATTTTTTATATTTTGTTTAAATGTTAAATCACAAAGTTCTGATTATTTATGTGCTATTTCAGACAGAAGAAGCAATTTACACTGTCTGAATTTGGCCCCTAGATTATCACAAATGATGTCACTTTTCAGCAAGATGGTGGTCACCAGGAAGAAGCTCAGAAATATTAATTTTTAAACTTGCTTTTAGGACTTAATGTGATTCTTCTCTGGAAGGAAAATAAAATGTGAATGGTATTTTTAGATACATTACTTAGCATTGTGGAGCAGTGATATTATAGATCAAACAAAGGGAAGATGACAAGAGCCACAAGCCCATTTGTAAAAGTATCTTTTAAAATGTTTTATTACTTTGTTTTCCTCAGCAGTTGGCTCAACTCCGCTGACACGCTGCTTCCCTCACACAGTCCATTTTTGTTCATTTGATAAGGTTTTCTACACACCCAGTGAATACTTTGCTGGACATTCTTTCCAAATCCCTCTAAAGTTTCCCATTTGATTCTTTATTGCCTTTTAAGTATGCTGCACATCCTCAGAATGTCTCATTTTTCCCAACTTCCATTTATGTTAAAAGCTTTTAAAATACATTTTAATGATGTATAAGAGGCTGAGCAGTATGATGAGCCTAATAGCATGCTATTGATTTTCATCTGAAACAGACATTGCTAAATGGCTATTGACATTTTCAAATGTGTATATTTAATGTGGTTTGAAGTCAAGGCAAATACAATGATCTTTTTCTACTAAAATTAGATACAAATTAATTAGTTGCAGTAAGCTACCTTAAAAGTCTCTCTTTTTCAGTGTCTTCAAAACAGCAGTGTTAGTAATAACCGCTGGTGCAGGGAGTAGAATAAAAAAAACACAGGACTAATGTGTCCACACACAGCTTCCACTTATCTGCAAGTCATGGTCTTAAGAATTCAGCCACAGGCGTTGCTTGTGGAGAATATACTGTGTTAGATACAGTGAAGTGGTTCTCAAACAGTGGTTCGGGACCCCAAAGTGGGTCAGGTCCCCATTTTAATGGGGTTGCCAGGGCTGGCTTTAGACCTGCTGGAGCCCAGGGCTGAAGCCAAAGCCTGAGCCCCATTTCCTGGGGCAGCAGGGCTCAGACTTCGGCTTCAGTCCTGGGTGGCGGAGCTTTGGCCCTCCCACCTTGGGTGGTGGGACTTGGGCTTTGCTCCCCTCCACCCCGGGTCATGTAATAATTTTTGTTGTCAGAAGAGGGTTGCTGTGCATTGAGAACTGCTGATATAAACTGCAAATCACAGTGCAACATCCCAATTGCTATATGGATACCTTTTGGGCATGCCACAGCCAAGCACAGAATAGAAAATAAAGCAGGAGGTCATTTGTTCATAATTCAGACTCAGTGGGCAGACTAGAAAGGAAAACAAATAAGTGTAAAACAGGCACACATGCCAACATGAGGTAATAAAAAAATGGCAAATCCACAGCAATCCCTGATTGCCAAACAACTAGGTAGTTTTGTCCTATGAAATGTTCCATGTTCAGGGAGGTTTGAAGTCAATTCCATAAGAAAACTGAAGCATTTGTAATTTTCACTAAGTATATGTGAAAGTGAAATGAATTATATTAAAGAAATAGAATGAATTAAAGAATGCTGTATGTGCCTTTAAGTAGAAGTGAGAAATGTCGCAATCCAGGTGCCAGGAAGGCAGACATTAAGGTAGAATAAG